TGTTCTTATATTTTATATTATAAATATATTTAATATATAAACATAACATTTTTCTTAAATACATACATGCATGTGTATATATTTATACATACATAATTAATATACATAGTATACACGCATATATTATGTAAAGAAAAACTTTTATTTTGAATGCGATTAATCGTTTGACAGCACGCATATATATATATATTGTCAAACGCATGGAGACTGACTTACTTGCCAGGATCCGGGATCTGACTGCAAACGGCTCTGAGTGACTGAAAGCTGTTTCTGATGGAGTGGATATTGGCCATGCCCATAAACATCACCTCACAGTTGGGATAGTACTCTACAAACACAAATAAAGCAGAGACAAACCTGCCTTCAGCCAACAAACCAACAAACAACCAATAATGTCCAACGGCATCCAGAGCTTGAGTATGAGTTCAGCAGCGCTCACCTTCACACTCGCAGCCTCCTCCTTTGGCACGATTCGCCACGGCGGCGGTGTAAGAACGGGCATCCAGAATCAGTAATTTCTGTGCTGCACTGCTGGCATCAGGAGTGGGACAACCCGTCAGAGACGAGTCTGAGGAAAACAGGAGAGTGGGTGTGATTAGAGCAGAATTCTGACATACTGCATACTACACTGCATTTACTGCAGGGCCGGAAATTAATGGGGACTTGGTGTCATCAAAATGAACAAAAATGCCCCCCAAATTCAACATAAGGGGGCATTCTATCACTTCCTCAGCAATGGATGCTCTGCAGTGAATGGGTGCCGTCAGAATGAGAGTCCAAACAGCTGATAAATTGCTGAGCAAGTGATGCAATGATACATTTCTCCAAATCTGATGAAGAAACAAACTCATCTACATCTTAGATGGCCTAAGAGGCCTAAGAATAAAAAAAAAGGAATGGAAAAGCTAATTTCTGACCCTGCTGCATACTACCAAAAATAGTAAGTCACTACACGATATACACAGGTTGTCTAAACAGACATGAACAAAAGTGAAGTGAACCGCTGGTTTGGCACAGATTCAATCGTGATCCAATTATGATATTAAGATGCTCTGCAGTGTCTTGAATCGTGACATCTTCACAAAACCAGCCCTACTGCATACTGCAGAAATCAGTATCAGTGTGCCAGAGATGAGCGACACAACAGAGTCAGACTCGCTTTAATGCGCCGCAAGTGCAGTTATAATTCTTCCGTCTGTCCTGCTGGAAAATCAACGACGGCCGCATGCGGAGGAACTTCTGCCATCACGACCATGACAGCCAATTCACTTACGGCCATTAAGACTTTACAGAGGCCGGCCAAAACCGAGCAGAAGAGTTAAAGATGAGTCTCGACTCAGCAAAAACAGACATGCCTGCATTCAGTGGAACACGTTTAATTAATAAGAGTGATTGCATTAAGTAATGAAACGCAGGATCAATGATTACTGGATCAGAACAGAACCATCCTGCTTTGAATAATTTAATTAACTGCATTTTATGTAGAAGACAAGTGAGGTTTATTCATCCAAAACTCTTTACTGTGAGTGGTTGCGTCCCAAGTCAAAATACAAAGATTATATAAAATAAATGGAAGGTTACTCTGGAAGGTAAATATAAATAATTTAATTTTTAATAATGAAATTGTGTGTGAAATGGTTCCAATTGAAATATTCACATCTTAAATATATAAACATGCTCAGTTTCTGCACTAAAAATGCAAGCCCTGAAAATACAAAACATTAAAATACAATCACTGTTAATGCAATGCATTTTTCAATTAGCTACCTAATACCTATATTATATACAGTGAATTAGTTCCTAATAAAAATTAAAAAAAAAATCCTAATGAAAATAAATAAATTAAAATAAATAGATAAACAAACAAAAATAACTAAATAGAGATATAGATCATTATTGCTAAATAAAATTTCTTACACCGTGAAATAATTTTGGCCATATTGCTCACCACTACTTCTAGTAAAAAACATACAAACTACAAAAAAGAAAGAAAAAAAAAAAGAAAAAAATCCAGATGATTTTTGATTTGATTAGCAATAATCTCTAGTTTGGCTGCTGTGAGGCATTGGAGAAAACATCATCCGCATTATAACCAACCTGACGCTCTTTAAAGGGATAGTTCACCCAAAAAAGAACATATGCTGTTAATGTGCTCATGCTCAGGCCATCTGAGATGTAGATGAACTTGTTTGTTCAGCAGAACAGTAAAGAAGATTTTTAGCTGAAACTGTGGGCCTTGATGATTCATAAAATGCAAGTCAGGCAAGAGTTCATTCATCATAGGATCTGATACAATGCTATTTTGGCTCATTTCCAGCCGGAGTGACTGTCAGGTGAGTTTTGATTGAGTAACTTGTAGATCTCTGAACTGCAAACTAGTTCACAAAAAGAACCGGTTCAAAAGAATATGTTCACGAACTGAACCGTGTGCCTGAGGCTCTGGATTACAGGTAATGTAAATAATGTACAGTTTCTTGCACAGACCAAACAGTTTGCTTCATAAGACCTCGATATATCATCAGGAGGCACGGGGATTCATTTAGTCTTGCCTGTATATGCTTTTTTTGACTCTCAAAGAGACGATAGGCATTAGTGCTGGGCGGTATACCGGTTCATACCGAATATCGGTGTTTATTTTTTTTATGATATGAATTTTTAAAATACCGCAATACCGGTGTATGTCACTTAAACAACGTTCGGAATGCGACACTGTTTGAAACTGGTCCCTTTTCACTGTTGCACTGTGGTGAGGGAACAGCTGTATGTGTTACTAAGCGTGAAAGTTCCGAAACTGAAGCTGTAGAACTAATAGAACGTGATGACACAGAAGAACTCATCCACAATATCCACATTGACCGCCACAAATATCCAGAGCTCCCTGCCATCAGCTCCCGCGTCTCACACACACCAGCGCGACTTTAGCACTAGATTTAGCAACCTTCAGACCCTTTAGCGGCTTTTTTCCATAGAATATTCATACTGACAAACCTAGCGACTTTTTTGGATACACCTTAGCTATGGTTCAGTTGGAAGATTTCGCCAGTGCCCCGCGAACGCGAGGCCTGACTTTCCCGGAGAAGTGTCACCTCTTTCGGCGTCTGTTCTGTGCAGTGAGCGGCAGAGAAACACCGCAGCCGACTCGTCAATAAATGAGTATGAAACCGGTATAATTTTGAAAAATACCGTGATATAAATATTTGGTCATACCGCCCAGCGCTAGTAGGCATTGACCAAGGATCCCGGTTTGAGCTGAAAATCTTCTTTACTGTTCTACTGAAGAAAAACATCACCTACATCTTGGATGACCTGAAAGTGAGTAAATTAACGGCACATTTTCATTTTTGGGTGAACTAATGCATTAACGCATTTCTGCAAAGCATCAGACAGTTTCATCCATTAGAGAAGCGTCTTGATTGGGGGATGTTGGCATCGGCCCTCGACTCATTAGACGGTGCGGTCACGACTGTAATTAGAGTGCATTAACTCTTCAACTGCGCAAAAAAACTCCTGCAAAATTCCCTCTCAGACAACAGCCTCCGAACTCATTTGCAGGCGCTTGTAGAGGCAGCGTCTGAGAGAAAGCGGCTGTGAATGAGGGTGTGTTGCAAAGAGTTTTCCCATGGCAAACCCCATTGATTCTTAGCAATCGGGTCGGTGCAAATTGCTTATCTGCAGTCCAACAGTGTAATTGTCTCTATATGGGTTTACACTCTGCCTTTGTGGGAAAGAACGAGGGTGAGAATGCATTTTCAGACAGAAACTAATTACAAATGGCATTTCCGCCCAACATGTATGCAGTAATTATCTGACAGCGAAAACACTTTCAAAGGATTCAATGGTCTAAAATTGGGACTAGAAATGCCAGGATAAAGAGAGATGCTTGGCTGAAACATTTACAGATTCATATTTGTACTTAAAGCTTTTAATGCATTGAATGCATTTTTTAAAAAATGTATTCATTTGATTTTTCTACACAGAAAAACAGATCCATTTGTCACAAGTTCCTCAAAATGACTGTCCCAGTTAACAAAAATGATCACATACAATGAAGCAGTAAAATAAAATATACAACAATAAAATAAAATAAATAAAAGTTTAGCTTAACTTGAAGAAATTGTGACAGAAATATATGACTCTAGTACAGCAGAATGCACTTCATAAAGTAATAATATAATATAATATAATGCAATATAATATAATATATTTTAAGAAACATTACTCTTTCTTCTATGTTTTAATTGGAACAGTAAATCTCTGGTTTTGTTTACCAAAAAATGTAAATAAATTTTTTATTAATTTTATTACATTTTAAAAGATTAATTAATTTACTTGATTTTAGATAATAAATTAGAATTAAAAAAATTTAATAAATAGATAATAAAAAGTAAAAAAAGACAAATCAAAATTCCTGAAAAAATCAAACAATACATAGGCCCCTCTTATTGCAAAACTTTCCATAAATGTGACCCTGCCTGTGAAAACCCAGCTAAAGTAATTTTTTTGTGATTTACTGTTTTCTACATAAAATCATCCTTCATAAAGATGTAAAACATTCTGTGAAAATATAACCTTTATATCTTTAATCCTGACTGAGTAAGACCATGTCAAAGATAGAAATCATAGTGAAATTAATGGTTGAAATCAAACTTTAATGCTTAGATTTTAAGACTTTAGCCTGGATTTCACAGACAGGGTCACAAATTATTAAATGGTTAAAGTTTCATGAATTAAATTGTATTGGGGAAAAAAAACCCTAAAAATAAAACTAACCAAAGTCACTGTCGGACGAGTCGGGTCCGTCTCCTCTGGTCCTGCAGGCCCTCGGCCCGGCGTCCAGCTGACAGGCCTTCGCTATAGACGTCACCAGATACTCGTCCTCGGTGTTCCTCCAGCCCCACCAGCTGATCTCCGGCTGACTGCAGCGGGCGATGACCGCCCCGTTACGCTGGTGCCTGACGGGACACACCGCAGAGATCATCAGTCACTGTCAGCTGTGCAGGAGGCAGACGAGCTGCTTCTCTCACCTGTACACCACCACAGGAATCCTCTTCCAGGACCTGAAGGAGGCCACGCTCTCCAGCTCCTTATCTGTGATCCAGACGGGCACCAGCAGTTTTTGTGGGTAACTCGAACACAACCTACAATGACAAGAGTCAGACGCTAAAACTCACAGAGATACATACAAATAGCACCGAATTAATTTATTTACTAATATTATACTTAACACCATATCAGCAGCAAAGGCTTTTTTTCATGACAAAACATACTAGGAATTAATATACAACCATATAATAACATGTCGTAATACCAATAAACCTTACATTTATCAAAATACCAATAAACCCCAATAAATGAATTATATGCAGCAAAATAACAATATTCTTACAGCAAATATATGTGACCCTGGACCACAAAACCAGTCATAAGGGTCAATTTTTCAAAATTGAGATTTATACATTGTCTGAAAGCTGAATAAATAAGCTTTCCATTGATGTATGGTTTGTTAGGATATGACAACCCTTACGAAAAAGAAGTTTATTCAAGTGTGCTATTAGTATACTCCAGGGTCACATATTATGAAATACAGCAATTACGCAAGCTAAAAATGCCTTTATAATCAATCAATAAATAAAATATTAATATATAAATATTAATATTAATATCAATATTTATTTATTGAACACCATATTAACAGCAGAGGCTCTTTTTATGGCAAACGGAATAGCAAAATCATTAAACTTGCATACAAGGAAGTATCTGAACATCAAAAAGAATAAAGAGTCGTTTTCTCGCTCTCGTCTCGTTCTGATGTTCAGATCAATCACATCTCTGTCTCACACCCGCTGCGTCCGTCTCACCCTCAAATGACAACCTCAGTCCAATTATATGCTGACGTTCTCCATGAGCCTCGATGACCGACCCGAGATACACACACACACACTCTCTCTCTCACACACACACACACACACACACACACACCCAGAC